GATGAAGTGATTGCTAGTGCCGAACCAATCAGCTATAACGAGGTCTTCAAAGATAAACAATAGGAAGGAAGCTATGGTCGAAGAGTTACAAGTGATCAAAAAAATAATACATGAGAATTAGTCGAATTGCCAACACATACAAAAACTATCAAAGAGATATGGGTGGTCAAAATAAGAGAGACTACACTAATTGAACATCCAAGGTAGAATTTACTAATCATAGTTAGTTTAATTATATGAGACTGAACCGTAGTGTAGCATCCAAATTAAGGTTTTTAAATTATAGTTTGTCGAAATAGATGAAATGTCCAAGTTAGAAATTTAAGTTGTAGTTAGTTGAAATGGGTAACACTTCGTTGGAATATCCAATTAAAAATTTAGTTATAGTTAGTTGAAATGGGTGACACTTACTTGTTGGAACGTTCAAAATATGTGAGGTTGAACCATTGAAATGTCTAAATAGAATTTCTTAGTTGTAGTTATTCGATTTAGGTGACATGGGACCATTATAATGTCATAATTATTAATTTGTAGAGTGGTACAAACGTTTCATTTATATCATGAAATAATTTTTTTGGTGTACTCGCCGGCACTAAATACTAGTATTGGGCTATTATGTGTGACGTTGCGTTGATTATTGTAGTAACATTAGTTTCCAAATCCCAACCCCCTTTCAGAAATATATTACTATGATACTTCAAATAAAATTAACTCCAATTAATGTTATATTAAATATAAGATTTAATTTAAATATAGTAATTAGGTAATACTATTTTACACACTTATCTAGTTAAAAATAAAAGATTATTTTAAACAATTATTAATTAAATGATTAATTAAATATAAATGAAATTAAAACTAAAGTATTATCTTAATTAAAATTTTAAAAATTGTATGTGTTGCGAGTCATATGCTTAATTAATAAATTAATAAATTTATCAATATTAAATAAAATAAATAATGTTATATGGTTAATTTTTGTTTAATATAAATCAGTTTAACTGTTTTCAAGATTTTAACAATCTAAAAAACAATAAGAAAAAGTGTTGTATAATCTAAGTTTTGTAACCCAAACTCAAGTCCAGGTTAATTAGGGTTAGGATTTGTTATGTTAATTACTTAGTACTCAAGTTAGTTACTTGTATATGTATGTATTTGTAATTTAATAATAACAATTCTTATTCTTTATTCTTTCTCTCTTTCTCTCCTCACTAAAGTGCATCACACACTAACAAATTGATATCTAGAGCTCTGGTTAGTTTTTTGATTGTGTTTTCCAAGAATCACACGTCTGTGATCGTATTTTCGAAATCGTGGGTCGTTAATCGTGTTTGCTGAAAAGATGAATGGTAACAATGACATTCTAAATTCTCTTCCAATTCTTTACGACAAGAATTGGATCCGATGGCGAAATCAGATGCAATCTCTGTTTGTCTTTCATGAAACCGTAGAAGTGGTTACTAATGATGTCCCTGAGCTTGCTGAGAACGCAACTGATGCTTAGAGACTCGCAAACAAGGAGGCCAAGAAGAAAGATTGCAAAGCTGCATTTTATATTCAATCTGCAGTTGATGCAACATTATTTGATCGAATTTCTCATGTTGAATCAGCGAAAAGAGGCATGAGATATTCTTGTCAAGTATTACGAAGGAGGTGAGAAGGTTAAAGTCGTCAAATTGCAGACGTTATGAAGACAATATGAATTATTGTAGTTGAGAGAAGAAGAAAAGATTGCAGACTATGTCTCGAAGGTGCAAAAACTTGTTCATTTCATGAAAGGCTGTAGTGAAACCCTAAATAATAAGATGATAGTTGACAAGGTGATGCGTACATTGACATTTCACTTTGATCATGTTATCGTAGTCATTCAACAATAAAACTGGAAGACTTAGTTGGTTTGTTGGAGGCACTTGAGACAATGATTGTCGAAAGGAAACGTGTTCAAGATTCGATACAAGCTCTACATGATCAAACATGGAAGAAACATGGTGGTTCCAACAAGTTCAATGGCAAAGGAAAAAGACTCAGAGAAAGTAGTCCTAGTCGAACCCTCAAAAGCATAAGATCAATGATAGGGCTTATGAATCCTCGAAAAGAGGAGAAGGAAACTCCTATCAGAAAGACAAAGAAAAGAAAAAAAAATGTGTGTAGTGCTATAACTATGAAAAATATAGTCATTTGGCTAAGAATTGTTAGTACAAGAAAGGCAAGAATGAAAGAGCAAACCTTGCACGCCAAGATTCAGATGATTCTGAAAACATGGTGGTTATGAATGCAGTTGTAGATGAGTATGTCGACACCAAAATATGGTTCCTCGAGACCGGCTTCTCAAATCACATGACTGATAGGAAAGCGTAGTTGGCAGATTTTGACGATTCGAAGAAGAGGTCAAGCTTGTTGATAATAGCTCGTTACATGCATAAGATATTGGCGACATAGTTATTAAAAGGAGCAATGGAGCAAAAGTTATGGTCAAATATATACTCTATGTACCTGGAATGAAGTGCGATCTGCTATGTGTTGGACAAATTGTCGAAAATGGTTTCTCAGTGGTTATGAAAGATGGAGCCTTGGAATTATTTGAAACATAGAATAATTTGGCCTTAAAATCTCATACATTGAAGAATAGGACATTTAAAACCATGTTCAATTTTACTGAGGTACAATGCCTAAAAATAGTTTTCAAACACAAGAACAGTTGGTTATGGAATTTAAGATTTGGCCATCTGAATTTTAGGTCACCTAGTCAAATAACCACTCAAGATATGGTAACTGGTATACTAAGTCTTGAGATTCTCAATAAACTCTATGAAGGTTTATTAGTAGGGAAGCAATCTAGAAATTCTTTTGTTTAAACTATCCCAATGAGGTCCTCTTACATACTAGAAGTAGTAAATTCAGATGTATGTGGCCCATTTGAAGATCACACCAATGGTGGAAACAAATATTTTGTCTTATTTGTCGATGAGTACAGTCAAAAGTTTTGGATCTATGTGATCAAGCAAAAGGACAAAGTATTTGAAATCTTTAAGAGATTTAAGATGCTTGTCGAAAACCATTGTGAAAATAAGATCAAAATTCTATGAACAGATGAAGGTGAAAAATACATGTTTGAAGAGTTCTATGCATAACATGGTATTGATCATGAGGTAATTGCTCCTTACATGTCTCATCATAATGAAATAGACGAAAGAAGAAATAAGACCATATTGGATATGGCAAGATGCATGTTGAAGTAGAAGAACTTGCAAAAGTCCTTATGGGGTGAAGTTATCACCATAGTTGTTTATATTCTAAACATGTACCCTACCAAGAAGCTGAAGAACAACGTTTCGGAAGAAGTGTTGAGTACCAAATGACCATCAGTGACTCATCTGAAGGTGTTTGGATCTATTTGCTACAAACATGTTCTTGATGCAAGAAGAATGAATCTTGATGATAAAAGTGAACCTATGATTCTGGTAGGATATCACAAAATTGGGGCTTAAAGGCTATTCAATGCAATCAGTGATAAGATCGTGGCGAATCGAGACATTGTGATTGATGTGAGTTCTGCCTAGGATTATAATTCACGTGATGTGACTAACAAGCCATTGATGGGATATGGAGTTGATGAAGAAAGTAGTGAGCACAGAGAAATTTCAGTCAATAATGTTCCGATAACTATCAAAGTCGAAGCAGGCAATCAATGGGTGTGGCTAGCACAAACCAAAGACCTCAAAGAACCAGAGTACTCTCAACAAAGCTTCAAAACTGTGAAATGTTTGGTGATGATGAAGTCACACCAAATCGAGATTTGGTTCATTTCTCTTTACTTGCAGGTGCTAAACCAACCAGCTATAACGAGGCCTTCAAAAATAACAAATGAGAAGGAAGTTATGGTCGAATAGTTACAAGCGATTGAAAGAAACAATACATGGGAGTTAGTAGAATTTCCAACACATAAAAAAGTTATCAAAGTGAAGTATATGTTCAAGTTGAAGCATAATGTTGATGGGTCGATAACAACCATAAGGCAAGATTAGTAGCTCGAGGATTTCTTTAGAGAGAAGGACTCGACTACTCTGATATCGACAACAAGTCAGCCATTAATCTTGTAAAGAATCCATTTTTTTTATAGAATGAGTAATCACAATGAGGATAGGTTTCATTTTCTAAGAGAGAAGGTAAATCAGGGTGAACTTGAAGTGAGACATTGCTCGAGCGAAGCACAGTTGGCCGATATTTTCACCAAAGGATTGAAGATTGACATATTCCTAACTTTGAGAAAGAAATTAGTAATAGTTCAGATTGATTATGATTAGCTAGTGCTTAGTAACTTGGATTGTAAGGGGGTATGTTGAGAGTTTAATCCAAGTTATGTAACCCAAGACCAAGCCCAAGTTGATTAGGGTTATGGTTTCTTATGGTAGTTACTTAGTACTCAAGTTAGTTACTTGTATGCATATGCATTTGTAATTCAATAATAACAATCTTTATTCCTCTCTTTCTCTCTCTCTCTCTCTCTCTCTCTCTCTCTCTCACACACACACACACACACACACACACACACACACACACACACACACACACACACACACACACACACACACACACACACACACACACACTTTCACTCACTCATAACAGTTGAATGAATATTGAATCACTTTTTTGTAATCATATTTGTTCACTTATTTTAAAGTCTTTTTTCCTCTTACCCAAGTAATTTGCTAAAATACATTCTAAAAAAAGATTTAACAAACTATCAATATGTTTACTAACTTATATATAGAGATTATATTATTGATTTTGTTATTGTTTTAAGGGAATTTCAATACAATAAATAATAAAAAATCATATTAAAAATTTAAATAAAAGCATAGCATCAATAAAAATTAAAATAAAACAAATCCACATAAATTTTATTTATAATTAATAAAAAATACAAAAAAAAATAGGCGCATGAAAGGATTGATGCCTAAGTTTCTTTAATAAAATAAGTCTAAAACGTTTCCTGCCTAACTAGTATTATTCATAGATGTCTTAGCCATTTCGTATGTTTCTATTAAATATTTTTTAAATCTAATTAAATCAATTTTTATATTTTGTTTTAAGTATAACTTTTGCTTATCCCATTTTCCTTGAGCAAAAGTTGACGGATCTTTGACCATTAAGCTATCTTCTCCATACTCCCATGATAAGCTGCTTTCATTTACATTTACTTTGTATCCAACATATTTCAAACCCAAAAACTCATCTGGGTTTTCATAGCAGGCTTTTGAAGGCCATTCAAGTCCAATAGGCACAATTTGAACCACCACCGAACCTTGTCTAAGGAAAAACAAATTTGTTAGGCCCGCACCATGTACTCCTAATAATACATCACTCGAATGAATCAATTTATAAGTATTAGCCACTGAAGGGTCTTTTGAAGAATCAAACACATTCACATTGAATCCTATATCTTCAGCTAGCTTGATAACTTCTTCTTGATTCAAAAGTACACGAGAACTTCCTTTTCTATTAACTAATGTGAGACGTGGTCTGCCGTTATTGTTGGGATACATTAATGCATTGTTACTTTTTATATATGCACTTTCTAGTAATGCATGGAAATCAATAAGGGTTTTAGGGTATGGTAGCAATTTCGGGTCTATGGTTACAGGTCCATGCTTGATCAACCCTACGACTGCAGATGGAAAACAATGAGTGGTGGTTGTTACATTATTTGTTTTGATGATCTCGTGGCGGGGGCTAAATGTAGATAATAAATCATCATACTTTTTAAACCACCAAGACATACCATCTGCGATCACAAGTATTACATCTTGCTTTGGAAATAAAGAATTCATGGTGATGAAAAGGGGTATAAAAATGTCATTTATTTCATGGTAGAAGTTTCCATTGTATCCGCGTCCATTAAAAATTAATGCTGGACTATGATGTGTGACATCACATTGAGATGATTTTGGTGGAGTTGAAGTGAGGGTAAATTCTCTAACAGATTTCATTGCATTTTTATCACTTTTAAGAGTGTAAGGTTGAATTTTCACATGAATGTGGTTTTTGGTCCTTGTATGGGTGCCCAACGAAAATAGAGTTAGTGAAGTTTGGTTCAAAAGTGTTGGACCATTCATTGAACATATATCAAAACGTCTATTAGAACGATCACATGTGATTAATGCAGTACTATTAGCTTTTAGATCCCAACCCCACTTTGAAATTGAAAATATTTGTCTAAGTTTCTCTTTCCATATAGGAGCATCTGCGCAAAGAAAATAAAAAAAATTATAAAAGCGGAATAATTTACTATTATTTTTAAATTTTAAGATTTTGTACATGAGTCCTCTGCTATCGTATTTTTTAATGTAATTTATGCTATTATTTTTTTAAATAATATATTTCATATAATTTTCTTTTATCATTTCATGTTCTACTTGTCAAACAACCTATCACAAATCACAATAATAATAATAATAATAATAATAATAATAATAATAATAATAATAATAATAATAATAATAATAATAATAATAATAATAAAAGATTATCATACATAGAAATTAACATGCCTTACATCTGAAACATACATAAAAATTATTTTTTAACAAAACTAAAATAAATTTTGTGGAAAAAGAAGGTATAGAAAAATGAAAACTATTTAAGTTAACTTGAAACACAAAGAAGATAACTATAGCCATCGATTCAGTTCACCTGTTTAATAATTTTCTAAAAACTAAAATCAAGAATCGAATCAAATCATTTCAATCGATTTAGTTTGATTTTTTAATCAAACTTAAAAAATCAATGTTTTTTCAATTTTATTTGATTTAAATTATTAATTTAATCAATTTCTTATAATCCACTTACATCCCTAATCACATTGAAAATTACAAAGAAAATTAGAAATACAACCCAAGCATCACAACAAAACATGACAAGTTGAAAGAAAACCAGGTCACCATATCATATAGTATCAATACTCAAAAAATTAAACTCTTATGATTATAAATTTACTATAATTTGATTAAAAAACTAATATAAGTTGTTTTTATATATCAATAAAAACTATAAATATTGTTTAAAATATTTAATTCATAAAAATTGTATAGGGTTTGTTGATTACTTACCTCGCAACACAGTTATCTGAAAAATGAAGATGAGTCCAAATATAGCAAAACATATAGCTGATTTTGTCAATATTGATGTCTTCTTTTCCATCATGGATGCTACTTTAATCCAAACAAGCTTTTAGCAGAACTGTTTAAAGAAACCGAAACAAAAAATTATCAGTAAAATGGATTTTAAAACTATTAGGAATATAAAACGAGTGAGTTATGGCTATGTATGAACAAATTAGAGCTCTAATTACCTGATAGCTTTGTATTTGGTTTAGCTTACTCTCATTTTCATCTATATATAGATAAAAGGTTGGTAATAAAAAAAATAAGATCAATTTACATGGTCTAACACTTGACTATTGTAATACCTCTCAATATTTTTTAAAGAATATTTACTTTATAAAATGTATGGTTGGATTTGAAAGTTTATAATTTATATAAATCATTTTAATAAATAAATATATATATATATATATATATATATATATATATATATATATATATATATATATATATATATATATATATATATATATATATATATATATATATATATATATATATATATATATATATATATATATATATAAAAGGTGCGTCAAAATTACATCTTAAATAATTTTATTTGATAAGTTTTTTAAAGAAAATTATAAAATTAAAAATTATTGAACATTCTTTCCTTATTCTAAATGAAAAAAAGTTAATATTTTTTTCCAAAATTTAGTGTTTGTAATTTTCTTTTTTCGAAAAACTAAAAAAAGAGAATACAGTTTTCTTAATTACCTTTTATTAGAAATGTGATATTTGTTTATTATAAATATGTTATATCTTGTATGTTAGTATTTAGATTCATTTTAGTTCTTTATTTTAAAAATAATTACATAAATTTATTAATTTTTTAAAATATTTCATATTAGTCTTTCTTATTTAGTTTGCAAAAAAAATACTCAAAAATTAATCGTTAATTTGTTGTTAATTAAACGAAAAAATTAATATAATACGTTTTGCAAAATTAAGAAATCAATATAAAAAAATTTTAAGTTAAAAAATCAAAATAAACCTGACGTTAATGTACAAGATAAAAAAAATATTAAACCTTAAAAATAAATTTGAGGTGAGATATCCTATAGTCAAAGAAAATTTTAAGACTTAAAAACTATTTAAAAAGTAAATTATTTTATTAATTCATAAAATATTTATTTTTGTGTGAAATTTGGGTAACTAATTCTTACCAACTAGATTGATATTATTAGCAAATTTGATTAATTCTTAGTCAAAAGTGTAGAAATTTATTTACATAAAAAATTATTGGGTTGTATATACAAATATACACATTGTATATATTTGTACTATATTCTGTAAATTACTATTGTTTGTATGTTAATTTATATACATATATAAAAGGAAGGAAATTTTTTTCATTCAGAAAAATAGAAAAAGAAAAAATATGAATAGATTAGTTGTTTTAATATTTAAACAACAACCATTGTATTTGTTATAAAAAAAGAATATGATTGAAAATATTTTATAATAGTTTTGATTACCTATTTTATCTTATTTATGAAATTAATTCTCTTATTTTAAATTTAAACAGTATTGGTTCTCATGGTTTAAATTTTACCAGTTTTGATTCACTTTTTATATTTTTGTATTTAAAATTAATAATATTTTTATTTTTTAAATAACAAATTACTTGTGAAATATGATCAATTATCATATTTAAATATATTGTTGATTTTTATAAATAAAAATATAAATTTAAAACCGTACATCTCATCAATTTTCTTTTGAAAAAAAATAAAATGGAGATTAAAATTATTTGAATTTAGAAAAAGAGGATCAAATAATTGTTTAAATTTAAAATAAATAGATTAATTTTAAGAATTAGAATTTAATTATTATAATATTTTATTATCATGTTAAAATATATTTATTTATCTTATATAATCAATTTGTAATCTTAATAAATATTTGAATACTTTATGAATAATTTGTTTGTATGTGTACAATAGACGGTAAAAGGCCAAAGAAATAACATGACCAAAAAATCTCAATTTTTTTTTAACTTGCTTAGGGTAGGACACCACAATAAAATATATATCATTTTTTTTTCTACGAAATATACCAATTTGTTTGTGGCATTTCCTACCGTTATTTCGTTAGAAAGCTTTCAGTAATAAAATCCGCCAACAAAATTTTATATATTATTTTCACAACAATTTAATACATATCAATTTAAGGTTCATTAGTAATTATTTTATTACTGATTCAAAATATATCTCACTAGTAGAATATAGTTTTTTAGCATTTATATTTTCAGCGTCTACATTTATTGATGCAAGTAGCCTCAATTTATCATCTTACACCTTTTTATTTGTGACTAGAAACAACCTCTTTTTAAAGTAAAATGTTATAAAGGTAATGCCTAAGACATCTCAGTTAGGTTTTTATTTTTATATTTTATTTTTAATAAATTGGGTCTAAACCCAAAAATCCATTAAATGAAAAAGATAAATAGGTATAAAAATAGGGGGACGAAGAGCCTAAACCTCAAACCTATCTGATTCTAAAATTAGATAAATCTAATCGGTTTCTACAAAAGTCCGGTTCTATATCCTAATGTACATCATGCCACCAAATAAAGTTAGAGATATTTAAACCTATGTTAGCCAATTTATCGGCACAGTGGTTACCTTCCCTGAAAACATGAGAAGCCAAAAAATTACAATTACCAAGGGTAGCCGTACAGTTGTCCCATCTATTCCTAATCTTCCAGGGCACAACAGATGGTTTACTGAACGCCATCACAACAAGAGATGAATCCGATTCTAGCCAAATATTTGTCCAACCTCGAACTAAAGCATGCTTAATAGCCAAAATAGCTCCCATCAGCTCAGCAAGCAGTGATTTAACAGAGCCTAAATTACAAGTAAAACTTTCAATGTGATTCCCGAAGTGATCTCTAAAGATCCCCCCACAAGTCGTGTTTATTGGATCACCGTCAGATGCTCCATCAATGTTGACTTTAATCCAACCATTTGGGGAGGATTCCAAATGACTTCAACACATATCTTAGGATTAACTGGATTAATGGAAATAGAAAACTTTTTCAGAACTTGAAAATCCCCAATGTCCATAGAAGATGCTCCTTTGAAAGAATTTTCAGCCAGCTGGGAAGTAGCATAAATAGATGAACATGTAGTTCTCCAAGGAATAAACTTGTTTTGAAATCGAGCATAATTTCGAGCCCGCCAAATGCCATTAACCACATCAATAATCGAAGCACGGTACACCACCATACAATGCGCAACACCAGATTTATGCATTGCAATGAAACAATCTTGCATATCTGAAAAGCTAAAATTAACATTAAGCATATCGCGCAGTCAATTCCACACTAAAGAACCACGAAGGAGGTTTAAATTAATAAATTTCTAGGTTGACACTCCGTATAGTACAAAAAAAATAAGAAAAATGTATTTTAGATTTAAAATGTTAGTATTGAATTTGACTTCGACACTACTAGCATCAGTTGACTCCAATGAATTTATTCATTTAATTTGAATTTTTAAAATGATTTTAATCACAACATCCGCTTTAACAAACACAAAAAATAAGCTAATAAAAATATAAACAGTAAAATATTTTAGCGCCGTAACTGACAAACTCATGAAGTTTTTTAATTTTAATATTTATTTATTAAAATTTTATAGAAGACTTTATTCAACGCTAAACTATTTTATACTGCAATTTTTTTTTTGCAAATCCCTCCAAATAATTTATTTCTCCATTTTTTTTAATATTATTAATAAAAAAAGAAAAATAGAAATTTTAATCCCTTCATTCCCCGCTCTTTCTCTCTCTCTCTCTCGGACACACACGCACACCAAAACATTCACCCCTTCGCTTTTTTCTCTCACCAGTAACCTATATCTCGTCTTTTCCTTGTCAAAAACTCGTCATCCTCTCTCTCACTCTCTCTCTCTCTCTCACACACACACACACACATCAAAATCCTACATCCTTCTCACCATCATAAACCTTCATCCCTCTCACCATCGAAATCCTTCATACCTCTCACAATAAAAACCCTTAAGATTAGTGTCGAAACATCAATCACAAATCAAAACTGCTCCCTGTTCTTAATCGAAATCACAAATTAAATAATCAAGTTCTTTTAAAGTATTCCATTGAATCTGATGTGTTTGACTTTTGGGGGATATTAGGCATATGTATTGACGTTTTTTGAAATTGATTTCCTAAAATTGATTGTTCATAGATGTTAGACATACACTTTATTATTTGTTCTTTAACTGACTTTATAATTTGTTCTTGAGTGTGGAGCCAATGTTTAATATGTAATTTTTTTTTACATATATGAAATATGATACTGAGTTTGTACTATTTGTTGATTGTGTTACTCATGAAATACCTCATAAGACTGAACAAATTTCTTAGATTACAATGCTTTATAAATTCTTTGATTTTGAATTGTGCCATTTCCTTGTAATTTCCCCTATTGAATTTGTCTTTAATTTTGACTAGGTCCTTATGTTGGACAAATGACTCCACATACAAGAAAGGGGGTGAATTTTGGGGTTTAGAAAAACTATAGTTTGAAAATGTTTCGTTATTATTTTCAGAGTTTAAAACCATTTTTAAATTTTTTTTTATAAATAGCAGCAAAAAATAAAGAGTTAAGGGTAAGAGAAATGACACCAGAGACTTATACAGATTTAGTCAAGAAGATTTAATCATGTTCCCAAGTTTTATTCTTGAGAGTATCAAGTAATGCTTAAGAGCTTTTATTAGTTTAAACTCTCAAACCCCCTTATAAAAGGAAATGAAGTTTCAAGTTAACTTGCAACCAAATAATTAACAACAGAGAGAAGCGTTAGTCTTCCAACCAAACACGAACTTGCATGGAAAAACGATTAGTCTTCCTTCCAAATACGAACTTGAAGCGGTTAGTCCCCAAGCTAAACCGAGATGTTCTACAGACATATCTCAAACTAAGACGTTCTTTTAATCAAGTTGAACTCACGAACCAAACTGGGGTTTGACCAAGCTGACCACAGACCAACATGAGATTTTAAACCAAGC